TTWWKKTWAAAAAGACTAACTTTGTTTAARAAAAGTTGTTCTCGTCAAAARATTCAGTTTTCTCTGTCTTTTGTTAGCTCAAATACACCTSAATTAATGTGYTTTTGGTACCTTACTATTACACTCGCTACTATCATGAAGARATTTCMSATAGAGCATGTTGTGCAAGTCCTTTAGACGTTGATGTATTTCTATGACATATCAATCTTTTACCCAGAGCCCACACTTTTGCCATCCAGCGGATGTCACTGCGTGAGAGACTCTGGAGGAGCGCGCATTGTTTTCAAGACGACAGCGCCAGAAGTGACATCCGCTGGATGGCAAAAGTGTGGGCTCTGGGTACGAGATTGACGTCATATTGAGAATTTTGTATGTAAGAACCCCTCCTCCTCAAGCATTGCTGCTAATGCTGTAAGACCATTAAAGTAGTGTTTTGATTGTTTCATTCTGATTGGATTTCGTTGATGTTTTTTAGGCAATCGAAAGTTATGAGATGGTAAGCTAAAGACAAATGTGGGTTTTTTGAAACGTATCTAATAATCAATGAAACCAAGAAAGKTTGACAAAAGTATTAAAAGAAGGAGGGATTCCTAAAGGCGGAAGTCACTAAAAATATCATGTATCATAATGCAAACCCGCTCAAAAAACATGAAATGGATGGAAGTGAATTGAGAATGGATATTCGAAGTCCTTGCATTCTTCCATCAATTGACAAGTAACAATTTACATGTCATGAGTTCAACGTTTTTCACGTTTTCTCAATATAACATTAATTTTCCCAGCAACATCACGAAAAGTAGGCGAGCCTTTGCATCAATTAGAATAGACAGAAMAATTTACTTTGCTGGATACCTATGAAAGTTGGACGCTTAACTGATATCTTGCTTTGATTGAAGGCTCGGTTACCACTCTCGTAAGCAAGCATATCCCGTATGTGTTACATAATTTTAAATGTGTACATGAGAGGCCTTCTGTAGGTAAAAAGTTATCTAATGCATAAAATAGTTGGCTGTTAACGAAGTAATATTGTTTAAATTTCAAGGTGGACGACGAAGCAATACCGGTAAGTTGCAACTATTGTTAATGAAACATAATACAACTGTCCATGYATCCATCCATCAAATTGACAGAGCAATTCAATGAGATCGACAGCTTTCAGCATTATCGATCGCGAAAAGTAGGTGAGGCTTCCCATAGCTTATTTTCGACCATAACTCTACTTTGAAATTCTCTTTTTAAAAATCTTGCCATGCACCGATTTAATTGATGTTTGGATTATTATTAAAGCATCGACCAAAGTTTTGTTTGGCATGATATTTAGCTCCATCAACGTTACCTCTAGGCAACGTAAATCGCGTTTTGTTGAAATTCGTTTTTGCCAAATATCAACAAAAATTTATGATATCCAGAGAAAAGCTAGTCTCCTCTCGCAGCCGTTAGGACKTTCGACCTCAGGTCACTCCCCTTGGAACGAACGTCGTCCTAACGGCTGCGAGAGAAGACTAGAGAAAAGCGGTAGACAATAACCAT